GGATTTTTCCTGACGGTACTAGGCAAACTAGGCAGCCACCTAGGGCGAACTGCTGCCTAGGGCGCAGCCTCAAACACTCACCCCCCATCTATTCTGAATTGCAAAAGCCAAGAGCAGTCTGGCTATTGCACCCGCCCACTGAGCAGAGGGGCGGAACTGAAAGACAACTTTCTCTGTCAGGTGCGCTTCTCTGCTCAGTGGGAGGGTTTCAATAGCCAGTCTGGTATTAGCTATTTCAAATTAAAATAGCCAATAGCAGTCTGGCTATTGCCCCCGGCTGCTTACATTCACCTGTTCCAGGTAGCTGGTCTTGCCTAGAGCGCAAAATAGTCTAGCACCGACCCTACGTACAAGTCAACAAAAGGCAGCCCCCATATTTCTACCCTAACCGGCTCTTTTTAAAGGAAACCGTCACTAATAGAAATATAGGGACTGCCATTCCTGACCCACGAAAAACACAAATTTTCTGGCTCACTCCAACTTTAATACTTTCTGAATCACTTATCATTAACAGACATGTAGTGAATGAAGACGGATTAAAGCCAGAATAATGATCTGCATACTTCAGTTTAAGTTCAGTGATCCAAAATGGAAGCCTTTGCATTTTCAATAGAAGCCGGTAGCTGTGGCTACTACATTGTATTACAGGATCCCTGCGACCTTGCCATAGATTACTTATATTTTATACCTACAGTGTGCCAAGCTGGACAAATTTAAATATATATATTATTTATTTATTTTTTGAAGCTGGAGTTCTACTTTAAGAATTATATCAGACTGGGGGGCGTGGCTAAGACATGGCCGAGTGAAGTCGCACATTGCCTGAGCTCTGTTCCCCTTGATCAGTTTGTGGACTCTGTAGACTCTATTCTCTCACACTCTTTGCATGTCGCAATCTAAACGGACACCCGGCTCCTCTGCGGTGACCCTGGGCTCCGATATCCAGCGCTTCTTCTACAAAACGCGGTCGACAGGGGAGACTCACACACAGGACAATATGGCGCAGACACGTGCGGCCTATTCCTGCAACACCCCGGGGAAGTGAACTGGACAGGTACCACCTACCTCAGCTGCGGTGGAGACCGCGTCCCGGTCGGGATGTCCCTCGTCCCCCATCCTTACGCCCTGCATCCCGGATGAGGAAGGCTCCCCTGACCCGGAGGCTTCCGGGCCTATGACGACATCGAGTGCGGGAGCGCCCGACGATTGGCGGCAATACCTCCCACAGCTCCCGACGAAACAAGACCTGGACAACATGGCCACGAAAATCGTGGCGGCGCTGAGACAGGAGGTACACGAAGTAAAGCAGCGGGTCACCACATTGGAGGCCCAAGTCACCACGGTGGAGCAGTCCACGTCCCAGCTGTCACAACGTATCGCCGTTCTGGAGGGCACCCATGGTGAGACGAAAACAGCGATTGACCACGCTATTCCTGCACCAAGATGATGCGGAAAACCGGAGCTGACGGAACAACCTGCGTCTAAAAGGTATCCCGGAGGCATCCTCGGGCGTGGACCTCCGCTCCACCGTGACCACCGTCTTGAATCTTTTGCTGGAGAAGCCTCCTACTGATCCGCTCGAACTAGACCGGGTCCACAGGATCCAAACTTACCGTACCCAGTCGTCTGGCGCCCCCCGAGACGTCCTCACCATTTCTTCACCATCAAGGAATCAGTACTCCGGGCGGCATGGAACAAGGGCCCAGTCGAGTTCGATGGTGTGCAGATACAGGTGATGCCGGACCTTTCTCGCCACACGCTGCGGATGAGACAGATCCTGAAACCGCTTCTAGATTTTCTCCGACCGGTGGGAGCTACATACCGGTGGGGCCATCCTTTCCACCTCATTGTCCAATGCAATGGCTCTTCCTTTGCCCTCCATGCCCCGGATCAACTCCCAGACCTGTTTACTTTTCTGGATGCCGTCGCGATACCAAGCTGGCTGGACTTCCCCCACGGTCCTATTTCCTCAACGGGTCCCCTGCCTCATTAACAACACTGCGAGGTGGCAGACGTCCTGCACGTAGGCCTTCTCCACCCCCGGATCCGACCTGGAGTGAGCCCTGAACCCTTTTTCGTCCACTGTTCGCTGGCACACGGGCCGTGGGGCACTGCCCATATCCTAGATCCGGCTGGATCCCTTGCCCACTCATCATTTTACCACATGCTCGAAACTGCCATCATGCCCGCACCCCGGCAGAGGTGTACACAGGGGTGTGAGCTCTGGGCTCCCCCACGTCTGCAACCTACGTTTACTCCTACAGTCTTCATTTCGGTTGGGGGGCGGGATGGGCCTACTAGATGACGGCGGAGGTTGCTATTGTTATTGCTGTACATCATTCTGTTATATAACCGTTATTAATTAGTTATGTTTATTCTCAGATTGACTTGGGCACCCTCCCTGTTGATTTCGGTGTGGGTCCGTGCCCCTATGGGGCCCGCTGATTGGGATTCCTCCCCTCCCTCCTTAAAGGGGGGGGGGGTCAGACGGACCACATGGGGACATCCCCACGCTGAAACGTAAGTAAATTGTTTATTTACCACCCGTGAGATTACCTGATCTGTACTTCTCCGCATTGCGGAAGGCTGTGTCGCAGACTTGACCACCACTCACTGTTATTTGTTAAAGTGTTGTCCTGTATATATGGATCCGGGATGTATACGACTGCATGCATACTTGGGGTTACTATGCACTGATCCCTACGCCCAAGGGGAATACCTCCTGGCAGCATTCAGGTTTATTGCTGATCTGTTACCTTTGCTGGTACCCACCCCCACATAGGTTTACCCCATTCGCTTTGGAACGGGTTTTTCGGGTAAGGCCCCGGGGCCTGATGGCTTCACGCTCCCCTATTATAAAACCTTCTTGGACTCTCTGATGGGTCCCTTTCTGGAGGCGTATAATGCCATTCTGACCGGGTCCTCCCCCCCAGCGGACACTCGGCGTGCCTGGATCACAGTGATCCCCAAACCTGATTTTCGCTCTCACTTTAGAACCATTCCTTCAAACCGTGCGGAACTCTGCGAATATCACGGGGCTGGACACCCCCTCGGGGACCCACAAGATGGCCGCATATGCTGATGACCTTCTTTTCTACCTTACAAATCCGGAGTCGTCCATCCCACACCTGCTCAGGGCTTTTTCCATATATGGCCAGCTTTCCAATTTTAAGCTCAACGTTCATAAGTCGGCAGCTCTCAATATCACGGTACCCCCGACGGTCATCGATCTCCTACAGCCTCGCTTCCCCTTTCGCTGGGAGTTACACCATATCCAGTATCTTGGTGCGTTGATCCCCAGGGACCTGGATAGGGTCTACTCTGCCAACTTCCTTCCACTACAAAAGAAAATAGCCCTGGACTTAAAAGCATGGCGCCCCCTCCACGTCTCTTGGCTGGGACTCCTTGAGTGGTGGAGGGTAAGACGTGGGTGGCAATGGAGCGGAGCGTATACCACTTCCCAATTAAGGGTCTCCCATGACTGTCCTCCGCCATACCACAGGAAATCAAATCTCACCCACTGGTGTATACGACCCTAAGAGTATCGCGAAAGGTCTTAGGGACATCTACCATATCACTGTCCCCTTCGCCTCTGACGCCGGTCCTCTGGGACCCTGATTTTTCGCCAGGAACCGACAACAGTAGATTACGTCGGGCTCTCATACGTGCTTCCAAATTCCGACTTCGGGACTTCAGGGGACCAGAGGACTGGCTACAGATTCCGGATATACGGTCCCTCAAGGATCCCCATGTGGATTTCTGGAGCTCCCTCTCCTTGAGACATTTGCTCAGGGCTATACCCAATGCGACGCTCCTAGACAGACTCTTGACGGTCTTCGAACAGTTATGTTTAGACAAGCTTCCTACCCGTCACGCAGTATCCCAATTGTACAAACTACTACAGGCCTCCACTGGTGATGTACCGCTACATTTCCTGCACAACTGGCAATCGGAGTTACAGTGCACTTTCACGGAGCAACAGAGAGACACTATCCTGGCGATGACATTCAAAGCCTCACTAGCAAATCGATATCAAGAGTCGGGGTATAAGATCCTGACACGTTGGTATAGGGTGCCGTGGTTGCTAGCAGCCTGCCTGCTTCACTTGACTAAACACTCGATCCCCAGATATAAACGCTCTTTGACACACCACCTGTTGAACGCAGCTCGGGCGTGCATTCCCCTGAAATGGTGGGACCCTCAGTCCGGTTGTGGCTCACCAAGGTCCAGGATACTTACCAACTTGAGGACCTAACTGCCTCGCTAAAAAAAAAACGGAGGCCCGCTTTAATGCCACCTGGGGACTGTGGTTGTGCTACAGAACCTCTGCCCAGAGCCCCATTCAATATTCACAGGCTGGTTTGACCGGGTCTCCTTCCCACGGGCTGCCCTGAGGATCCTTGAGGGTGTGTAAAATCTGGGATCACTCAGGAGGATGTGGACCCACAGGGACTATGGACCCCTGCTGACAACGCGGGACCCGACCGGGACCCGATCCCTATATATCCTCTCCAATTTCTTTCTTCTTTCACCTTTCCATTGACCATGAGATGCATCATTTCTCGGGAATAGTGCTCAGTCACAGAGCTTTACTGTACAGAATGGAACTATTCAGTCCAACGTTTGATGAGTCAACTACTGTACTGAGCTGATTTATGATTATTCCGATGTGACTTTATTAGTCTCGATATGCAAATGTGATACGGTGTAGTCCGTTTTAATATGTGCTCTGTAAACTTTATACACCTGTTTTTGTGTTCACCTACAATGTCTTTTTTATATTTGATGCTTTTCAGTCAATAAACAGTTTAAGTAGACATATGTACATAAGACGCACAAATGTTATTCTATAGAATTTATTAACTGGCAAAAGCAGACTAGATCACTTAAATATACAAGATTGTGTGCTTCTCCCAGCAGGATGAGGCACTCTGTGATGAATTTCTTGCTCTGATAAGAAGGATGGGGTTAAGCTAATATTTTGGACCAGCGGCTTGGTTTCAGGCTGTAGAGAGGTAAGGCAGAGTGTCGTAGGTATACCATGGGGACATCAAAGCAGCTCCGAAGTTGCTATTCGTGCACTGTATCTGCAAAAGAGAAACACACAGCCCTTGTTATATTATAGGGGATGTATAGGGTTTTTGTATATGCATAAACATACATTTTGTATATGTTTAGTTAGGTAAATTTGCATGGGGATATTTCATATTATAATTTCTGCTTTGCTAACATAAGTCAAGAAAACAAGGTCAACCAAGTGCTAAAATTAAGATAACTGAACTCTTAAGGACTTGTTCACACGATGTCCGGATTCTGTCCAGACCAGAACAGTTAGCTCCTGCACTAAAAACGCATCACGACCTATCCCTATGTGTTTTCTGAGCTCCAGTTCACACCAGCGCAGTGCTTTCCGTTCTGGACAGAAACAATACTGCATGTCACATTTTTCTGGTCCGGAACGAGCAGAAATGCGTACAAACGGGTCAAAAATGCTCCAGAAACGCACCTCACTGCAGCTAACTGAAAAAAAAGTGTATTCTTGCTCCACTTTTGATGATCTCATCAATGTTGGACTTCCTGTTTGTGGTGGAGCAGCAGAAGGGAACCGTGTACAGTTGAGCAACATGTCCCAGGACACTGACCGGTTTGTGGGTTTGGTGGAGCATGTTCCACAGCTTTATGACCCTCGGCATCCCCAATATAAAAATGTGCATCAGAAAAATGAGAAGTGGAGAGAGATTGCCTCCAAGCTCAACACAAACACCATGCCTACAAACATGGGCTACATGTCTGATCACCAGCTTTGCATACACAAAGGGAAGTACTCGTTAAGGTGCCCATACACTGTGCGATTATCGCACGATAATCGTGGGAAATCCCGCGATCGTGCGATAATCGCAAAGTGTATGGAAGGCGTGCAACCGTTTTTACTGTACGGTCGCATGTCTTTTGTCTAAGGGGCATGTTCGAAAACCAGCTGAAAATCTTACGATTTTCGGCTGGTTTGTGGCATGCTCGGGAGACAAATGCCGAACGGGCCGGTGTGTGTACTACGCGCACACTGCCCGTTCAGCATTGCGGTCATCGGAAGCCCGCCCCTCAGCGGGGCGGGCTTGCGATGATCGCAAGTACGATCTGCCTGTCCAAGATGGGCAGATCGTACATTTGTTTAATTACTTTACAACCATCGCAAGACTAATGTCTTGCGATGGTTGCAAAGTGTATGGCCACCTTAAGAGGCCGGAGAGGCTGGAAGTGACCTCAGAGCAAGAATCTGCATACTGACAGCCCCCCTACCCCCAAAAAAAACTGGAACACGTTGAATGCGGTAAAAATGCATCAAAAACACGCTGCACGCATTGCACCACGTCTGCAGATCTGCTCCAGATCTGGACCAGAAAATGGATGGAACAAGCCCTTTATAAGGAATAGAATGTGCCAAGGCTGCCCCCTTTCATCAATTCTTTTTATTTTAGTTATAGACATTTTCTTTTACCACTTTTCTCCCTGAAATTCAAAAGCGATTTTTCATATCGACAATGTCTCTGCACATTTTTCTCTTTTAGGTTATGTATTCTACCCTGATGAATTATACATAGTTTTTTTTCTGGACAGATAGGGCTTTAATTTGGACACATTCATTTTTATTGAATAAATAAAAAAAAAAACTATTTAAAAAATGAATTTTTCTGTAATTGTTGCCAATGCAGTGTTTACATTATTTGTGCACAACCATATATTTACTCCAAAACAAAATCAACAAAGTCTGCTGATTAAATGTCTATCATATTAGTGCAGTTTTTGTAACATAGCAGAATGGTAAAAATCAAAGTGGATATGTACATTTTATTTTAGAAGAGGAGAGGGGAAAAAACAGTTTGCATAAATTGTAATCGTAACATTAAGATAAGATTAAGTCGGGTTGACGCGGGAACAAATTAGCTTGACAGTAACTTTTTAACAGGTTTGTGAAACCTAAAATTTGGATGACATTAAGTTACGAGAAAAAAAATTTAAATATTAAATGTAAGTAGTGAAAACCTTATCATGAATACGTATAATAAAGAGGGAAGTAATAAAGGGGCAATTAGTGGGCTCGCTCCAGTCACCAGTGCCAAAACAGTCCATATAGTAAATCCTATAGCCGAAGATAATATAATTAAGACTGGCCTACCAATATCAAGTAAACCTTTGTCCCATAACAAGACAGGAATTAAATGTATGTATACCAATGCTAGAAGTCTGGCAAATAAATTAGAAGAGCTTGAACTTATGCTACTCGAAGAATACTTCGATATAGTGGGTATAGCGGAAACCTGGCTAGACAGTGCACATGATTGGGCCACCAATATAGAGGGGTACAACCTGTTCAGGAGGGACAGAGGTGGGAGAAGGGGGTGGGGGGGGGTATGCATTTATGTTAAAAATAATCTAAATATGCATATAAGGGACGATATCACGTCAAATAGTGGGGAGGATGTGGAATCCTTATGGCTGGAACTGGATATGACGGACGATAGTCGTAAACTAATTGTGGGTATTTGTTACAAACCTCCAAATATAGGGGAGGCTCATCTACAGTCCGAAATAGAAATAGCTGGGAGGGAGGGCAAATATAGTCGTGATGGGCGACTTCAATTACCCGGACATAAATTGGGCTAATGGAACCTCAAGTTCAACAAAGGCGGGCAGATTTCTGAACATTTTGCGAGACAATTTCATGGACCAGATGGTGGAGGTCCCAACTAGGAAAAATGCCATCCTAGATTTAATCGTCACTAATAATGCAGAATTAATTGAGGATATTGTAATTGGGGAGACACTGGGCAATAGTGATCACAATGTGATTACTTTCAATATTGGATACAGGAAAGGGAAGCGGGCTGGTAGGACATGAACCCTTAATTTCAGAAGGGCTAACGTTGATAAACTGCGCCACCTAGTGGCGGACATCAAATGGGAAAATGTATTTCACAAACTGAACACGGACCAAAAGTGGGAATATTTTAAAAACACATTACATATTGCCATTGCCAAATGTATACCGGGTAATAAAAGTAAAAAATCACAAACAAAACCTGTATGGCTGAATAAAAATGTAAAGCATCACATAAAGGAAAAGCGAGTGGCATTTATAAAATATAAGATGGAGAGGACGGCATTGGCGTTCCATAACTACAAAGAGTGTAATAAAAGATGTGAACTAGTAATACGGGCAGCTAAAATAGAGTGCGAAAAGCATATTGCCACATATAGTAAAAAAAAAGAAAAAAACATTTTACCAATACATAAACTCTAAAAAAGGGAGAAAGGAGCAGATAGGCCCAATAAAGGACGAAAGCGGGAAGTTAGTCACAAATGACAAGGAGAGGGCCGAAGTGCTGAACACTTTTTTCTCCTCAGTATACACTCAGGAGGGAAACGGGTTTGACATACATGATAAAACACATAGTTCATCACAAAATATAGCCAAGTGGTTGACGGAAACCGGGATACAACAAAAACGTAATCTACTTAATGCAAATAAAGGTGCCCATACACTGCTCGATTCTCGTACGAGAATCGCGGGAAATCCCGCGATCGTACGAGAATCGAGCAGTGTGAACGAAGACGTGCGACCGCTTCTACTGTACGGTCGCACGTCTTTTGTCTAAGGAGCACGCTAGAAAATCGTACGATTTTCGGCTGGTTGGAACGGTGCTCGGGAGACAAATGCCGAACGGGCCGGTGTGCGCACACTGCCCGTTCAGCATTGCGGTCATCGGAAGCCCGCCCCTCTTGCGATGATCGAGAGTACGATCTACCTGTCCAAGATGGGCAGATCGTACGTTTTTTTAAGTACTTTACAACCATCGCAAGACTAAGGTCTTGCGATGGTTGTAAAGTGTATGGCCACCTTAAAGCATTAGGACCAGATAACCTGCACCCCAAGATACTTAAGGAACTAAGCGAGGTTATAACAAGACCATTATTCCTCATTTATAAGGACTCTCTAATGACTGGTAGAGTTCCGAGTGACTGGCGGAGCTACGGTAGTTCCAATATTTAAAAAGGGGGCAAGATGCCAACCTGGGAATTACAGACCAGTTAGTCTTACATCAGTAGTTTGTAAACTGTTAGAGGGAATGATTAAGGACTACTTGGTAGAATTTGTTCAGGATAATGGTATAGTTAGTGACAATCAGCATGGGTTTAGGAAAGACCGTTCCTGTCAGACTAACCTACTGACTTTTTACGAGGGGGTAAGTAGAGATCTGGATGGAGGGAGGCCGGTGGATGTGGTATATCTGGATTTCTGAAAGGCTTTTGATTCGGTACCACACAAACGCTTACTATACAAGCTGAGGTCTATAGGCATATATGGAAGGATGTGTACATGGATAGAGAACTGGCTAAAGGAACGTGTACAGAGAGTATCAATAAATGGCGCCCTTTCAGACTGGGCTAGTGTCATTAGCGGTGTGCCTCAGGGTTCTGTGCTGGGGCCCATGCTTTTCAACCTGTTTATTAACGACAACGGGGGCGGAGTAAACAGCGATATCTCAGTGTTTGCTGACGATACCAAAATTGGGAGGGTAATAGAAACGGACCAAGATAGTGTAACATTGCAGGAGGACCTGGATAAAATAGAGGAGTGGGCAACCATGTGGCAGATGAGGTTTAATGTCGATAAATGCAAACTTATGCACTTTGGGATTAAAAATAAGCAAATGGGTTATACAATTATGGGTATGCCGCTAGGGAAGTCAGAAATGGAGAAAGATTTGGGGGTCATTGTAGACCATAAACTGAATAATAGATTACAGTGCCAGGTTGCTGTAAGCAAAGCTAGTAGAATCGTGTCCTGCATCAAGAAGGGAATGTTTTGCAGGGACAAGTCTATAATTTTGCCACTTTACACATCACTGGTTCGGCCTCACCTGGAGTATGCGGTGCAGTTTTGGGCACTGGTGCACAGAAAGGATGTCCTTGAGCTGGAGAGAGTCCAGCGGAGGGCAACCAAACTCATCAAGGGGATTGAGGACCAGAACTATGAAACAAGGCTACTAAATTTTAAATATGTTCACGCTGGAAGTAAGGAGATTAAGGGGGGACATGCTTTTCATGTACAAGATGTTCTATAGTCATAGCAACATTAGCAACAAACTCTTTAAGATTAATTCCGTAACAAAGACTAGAGGCCACCCCCTAAAAGTGGTAGAAAAAAAATTCAAACACAAGGGGCGCAGGGGGTTCTTCTCAGTTCGCGCGGTTAGGGTCTGGAACTTCCTGTCCAGTACAAGATCACAAGGGACAGCATAGTCCCCTGCAGCTGTCCATTTACTAGCTTGGAGAAGGGAAGAGGAAGGAGAGGGGAGCAGGGAAATGCCTTGCCTTGCTGTGCCTGTGTGTTTGTAGAGACACACACAGCCTACTAGCACACACAAGGGTGGCCCCATAGCCAAGGTAAAGGAGCCACCCTAAAACAGGATATCAGGGCCAGTGCTCAGTTTACCAGCTGGTTCTGCAGGAAACTAACTTTTAAACATCAAGAAGCAGCTTCCTTTGTATGTGATTTTATCAGCATTTAAAAAAGAATAAAACATGCTGACTTTAATATCACTTTAACCCAAGCATTTGCTAAAATGGGAATTAGATCTTTAAGTAACTTTCTTTGAAGAAGAAAAAGGTAAAATACTTTAATTACCCTATAAAATATCAGGTATGTTGGAGGTATTTAGTAACAGTGACGCTGGGCGGATATTACATGGATCTTATTAATGTACACTGGAGATCAGGGGCGTAACTAGAAATCACAGGGCCCCATAGCAAAATTTTGTATGGGGCCCCGTGATTGCTAGTTATGCCACTTGCAGAGCCCACCGGAGAGTGACCCTGCAGAGCCCACCATAGACTCTCTATAGTGGGCTCTGCAGGGTCTGAGATCTCTTACCTGTCAGCGCTGTCCGCCTCTGTGGTCGCCGGGCCCCGACTCCTGTTCCTTCCCCGGGCCCCGCCTCCTCTTACATCACTGGCCCCACCTGCTCTTAGGTCGCTGGCCAGTGATGTAAGAGGAGGTGGGGTTGCTCTTAGGCGGGCCCCGCCTCCTCCTTCTTTCTGAACATCGCTCTCATCTGCAGCAGTGGCAGGCTGTCACTGACACAGCTCCGCAGCGGCTTTGAGGGGAAATACGCCGCTGCTGAACTGTGTCAGTGACAGCCAGCACCCTTACATGCCATGCCCAGGCCCCATAGCGGCCGCCTGGGTCGCTATGGCGATTGTTACGCCAATGCTGGAGATGTAACCACAGTAGAGGCTCATACCAATATATTTGGCTCACACATCCTAAAATCCAGTCTCACTGGGAAAACGTATTTAAAACCATCTTGATTATATTGAGAAATAACTTATCTAAATAACTTAACTAAATAAACGCATTGTGATCTATAACATGATTAGTCTCACACAATATTAGACAATTATTGCGCAAAAACTGATAATACAACTGTTTATCCTATACCACCAGTGTATTGACATTTTATATTTGATAAGAAATCCCATTTAAGTTATTACTCTTTTGTTTTCCCTAGAGAATAAGAATTCCTAATGTACTAAATAATTTTAGAGAGCTAGTAATCGGCCCTTAGTAAACATGGCCACTGTCAGAAGACTGGTAAAGAAAAGAGAAATAAGGTATGCAAAGAATACAAAGCCTGCAATTATCTCTATGTATGTGTTTGTACATTTTCATTAGTAAACATTTCTAAAGGTGTGTTTGTTGTTTGTTTAAAGATATGGGTAAAAGTCATCTTTATTAAACAGGCAGACATTTGCTAGTAAGTAATAAGCACTAAATGCCAAGTTGTCTAAGCCGGAACATAGTAATGGACACAGGATAGATATACTAAGGTCAGAACCTTTTATGTCTTTATTCTTTCAAGCACAGTCTTTGTTTGAAGCACTACACAGTAAAATAAATAGAAGCATTCTTGGATTCCTCACAGGTCAGGTGCAGCCTCATAGAAAGGCAAATGAGACAATTGTTCATTCAGTAGGTAGAGGGTCACTGCACGCTCAAAGTGCAAGAAAGATCACATCTGCACAATAGATCAAGGACTGATGGCCATTTGACAAGATCCTCTTCTCTACACAACGTACAATAGTCCATCTTGCCTCTCCATCGTGTTTTCTGGTAACCAAGTGCAAGTGGCAAATACATGTTACGATAGTAATAATTCTATTTATTACAGCCTAGTTTGTCCCAACCCCTGTAACTTTTGCAGCACATTGTGAATTTCAATTCTCCTACATCTATAAAAGCAGATTTATCCACTTAGTATAGAACCATACATGTACTCTGTAAAAAATCATGCATGAATCATGATTGCCTGTTTCTAAACATAAGGGTTGTAGTCAGCAGTGGGTGGTTGGGTCATAGGACGGCTGTGCCTTACCCTGTCAAGCATGAGGGAGCTGGCCCGATTCGTAAGGGGACCAGCACGCAGGGGGCGAGCAGGGCGGTGTGGGAAGGAGAGCTGCAGGACGAGTAAATAATTTTTTTCATTTATATTCATTGTACACTTATTGCAGCTATGAAGATATTTGTTTATAGGACAGGTGCTATATATATGGTCTAGACAGGCATATCAATGAAATTTGGCTTTGATAGCAATTGCCCCTTATTAGCCCTCAAAGCCTGCTTTATGGTACTTTTATAGTGACAGTAGCATTCAGTGTATTATCTTTTACACAAAGCATGTAGCGGTAATTATTCTATACAGGTTTCTAGTACACAAGTATAAACAGCAAAACACACTACTACAGTGTACTGGCACTGCCTGAATGGAACTAATGTTTATATTAAGTGATCCGGTAATAGGTTCAGTTTTTTCCAAAGTCTCTATAGAGACTTTGGAAAACATGCTGAGAAGTAAGAAGTAAATGTAATTTTAATTCATATTCTTTCCTGTAAAGCATGTGTTTACTAAAATAATAATAGTCATTGTGTTACTGATAATCACTATTCCAGATCCTGTCCTATAATGACAGAGTTGTGACCTATACATTCCAGGGACTGTGCTGACCCCTACTGTTACAGATCTGTGCAATACCCCTATCTAAAATGATTGCACTGTCTGCTAAACTTAGGAACATGCAGACAATTCTGCAGTATGTAATATTCTAGTTCTATTTATAGAGTACAAAGGTTCCCTTACTTTATCTGCATTCGTGTTTGAATAACAAATCGTACTGTCTAAACCCGATAACACATATTTCCGGTTTAGCACCCACTCTTCTACCCATTTATTACCCTAAAATTCAGACTATTGCCTATGGCAAACATTGAAATTGAGTCCTTGATAACTGACACCCCAGTTCTGGCACATCCAGACACATGCATACACACTAGAGCTGCTGGGTCTGTGAGGCTGGTGCAGAATAAGGAATATACAGCACATTGTACAGAATGAGGCAGTGCAGAATATTAAATGTAAAACAAGGTGTATAGATGAGCCAGCATGGGCTCGGGAAGGTACAACATGGCATATGGATTGCCTCGGTGTGCAATAGGGAGCGTACAGCACCATATGAAAATGAGGTGGTGTAGAATCGGGAATACATAGCATGATACACGGAGTGATGTGGTGTGGAATATGGAACATACAGCACGGCAAATAGAATTAAGGGTTGTAAAATAGGAAATTTACAGCACGGCATATAGAATGAGGCTGTGTGGATTAGGGAACATACAGCATTGCATATGAAATGAGGCAGTGTGGAATATGGAACGTACAGCATGGCGTATGAATCCAGGCAGTGTGGAATAAGGAACGTACAGCATGGCATATAGGATGAGGCTGTGTGGAATAGGAAAGTACGGCAGGTCATATAGAATGAGGCAGTGTGGAATAAGGAACGTATACCACGGCATATAGGATGAGGTTGTGTGGAATAAGGAGCGTATACCACGGCATATAGAATGAGGTTGTGTGGAATAAGGAAGTACAGCATGGCTTACAGAATGAGGCGGTATGCAATAGGGACCATACAGCACAGCATATAGAATAAGGCAGTGGAGAATAATGAAGTACAGCATGGCATACAGAATGAGGCAATTTGGAATAGGGAATATACAGCATGGCATTTGCAGGGTGCTAGAAGATATTTTTGTACCTTAATAGAATCATTCCAGTTACATTCAGATTGATTGCAGTGACACCAAAGCCAATTGGTCTCTTGGCTCTAGGGCTGCAGCTAACCATTATTTTCATAATTGATTAGTTAGCCGATTATCAATTTCGATTCATCGGATAAAAAAAAATTAATACCGTAATTTATTTAAAATAAAGTACGCAAATGCAGCGTCACAGACATAAAGTTTACTTCAGAATAAAACTGATAAAACATTTGTCAGGCCGAAACTGAAAATAACTTTTCCCATCTTTTTATATATATATATTTAAAAAAAATAATTGTATGTATTATATTAGACATTTTAATTAGTGATGAATTAGTTAATGAATTAATATTAAGAAAAGTATTTTACATTAAGTAACCACTGCCTGGCTCTGGAGTCTCCGGTAATGTATATTACGCTATATACACTTTTAATTTCTAAGAAGCTGCATAAAGGACTTGAACAAGCCACTCCTCAAAGTTAAAGTGGACCTTTACCCACATCTTTAAAAAAAGGAAACACACCTTTAGAAATGTTTAGTAATGACAATCTACAAACACAAAGAATAGAAATAGAATTAGAATAGACAGTGATCTATTCCTAACCTCAAGTAATCTTATCATATATACGATTACATGCTGACTGCCACTTACAGATGCAGCCACTGTCATTAACTTGAACAGGTGCAGTGGCCACCTTTGGACCTTTGGATTTGGGAATCCTACCACAGGAATCGCAAATTGCCCACAGGTTGTGGGAGAGAGATAGAAATTTTTTGATGCTGGAAAAACTGGTGTACAGTTGGCAGTGACCCAATTACTAGGCTCTATATGACCAAACAGGCAATGGTATACATTAGATAGATATTGGGAATGTATTTGACATCCCATAGGGTCAGAGACACTATTACCTGAATTATACAAGCTTTGACATCTGTGTGCTCTGCACCCTCAAGGCCCAATTTTATCTTGGGGGACCAATAGT